TTGCCGGGATGGCGGAAGGGGTCGGCGTGGACGTGGGTTTGGGCGAAGGCGTTCCCTTTGTGGTCTGCTCAGTGACTGTACCAGAGGAAGGGGTTGCTGTGGTTGCTGCTGCGGTGCTGGTGTACGATTCATCGAAGAGGATGCCGTTTTCGGTGCCCACGGAGCCGCGAGCAGCTAAGGTCTGCGTCGGAATATCCCTAGTCGTAGAAGTCGGTGCCGATTCCTCGCCAGCGGGAGCACTATCTTTGGATGCCAACCTGTCGTCGACCGGTTCCACCAGAGAAGCGCGACGGGCTTTGTTGGAGGTCGAGAGGCCTTTGAAAGAGACGAGAGAATTCTCGGTCGTGCAGGAGACATTGTTTTGGCTGAAAAGCGCCATGATGCTCATCGAGTCCAACGGAATGCTGAAATTACTGCTTGCCTCTTCGAATAAGCGTGGAATATCACTGCCCATGGTTGCATTCTTGGATGTCGAGTTCTGAACGATCTCAGTCGTCACACAGCTCGCGTCGCCGGCCACAGTGCAGCGAGAACCTGTATAGCCGTTGGCGCAGACGCACGAGCAGATACTCCCGCTCGAGACGCTAACACCGCCATTTTGACAGGGCGCAGTCTTTTCGCATTGTGACATAGAGGTGGACTTGTTGTTGGGAACTGCGACCAGGAAGACGGGCACAAGAACAGCGACAAGAATTACGCAAATGATCAGAAGACAGACGACTATGAATAACCACGGCGGCATGCCACAACAACGACGGGAGCGCTGCCGGCCTTTCTCCTCGTCAGTTTCAGGGCACGTTTCGCGCGATCGTAAATGCTGCATGGGAGTTCTCCGGAAGAAATCTGGCCACGAAGAGCGCACTTCGGGCGTTCCTGCTGGAGGTGGGAAAGATGCCAGGATGTCCTTGATAGATCCTGATTGGCGAGCGTTGTGACCTGAGCGAGGAATCAGTTTGGTTCGAAAGTTTTCGGTCTCGTGCACCCAGTGAATGTGTAACTTACCTTGCGCCTTTGTACCGGTACCATCATTGAGCAGGTCATTCCTACTGGCCGTCCTTCCGTGCTCAAGATTTGTAGCGAGCTTCGTGGCGCGTCGGATCAGGTCAGGCAAGCTTGTGAGACTGCCTCGGGCTTCTGCCGCTCGAACAGCCCCGAGATCTAGGCGAGGTGGTCTACGGCCTCCTGGCCTCTTGGCGCTCATGGTTGGTGCAGCCTTGGGGAGGATTCCCAACTCCTTCTGGCGAGATCCCATATAGTCGTCTGTGTGCTGGAGTGCAGGATGTTGGCCGCTGATGCCCACCACGATCGGTGGTTTCTCCGGATCGAGTTCGGACGAATCGGTCGAGATCGTAGAGACGGAATGTCTTCCGTTCTTTGACCCTGCTGCCATCTTCTCCGAAGCAGTTCCAGCAGGCACAGCTTTGCTGATCGAACGCTCTTCTACGGTCGATACCGGGGGTGGGCTGCTGGGCTTCGGGATCGTTCGCAGTGACGGTTTGCCCCTTTTGCCGAGACTGGCTTGTCTGACAAGGGTCGAATCTCCCTCGTGAACGTTGGGCGGTGAATCCTGATCATCATCGGACTCGACGTCAAGGTAAGCTCCAAGAATTTCAGAGCCGGCCGGTGCAGAGCCCCAGCTAGACGGAATGACTCGACTGGATGCATATGACCCCTGCAAGATGGTTGGGCTGTCGGAGAGTTCTTCCGGGATCGGAGAGACGGAAGACCTGCGCTTCGTGGAAAATCTCGCAGCATTTGATGGGGCAAGTCGTTTCTGTTGCTGCAGTTGGGTCGGGTTTGTCTCTGCAGGTGCAGGTGGGGCGGGAAGAGCAAAGTCGGGAATAGAGGGAATGGACATGAAAGAAGAAGTTGTGGACTGCCTAAACGATTCGTCAGTCGCCCTAGGAACTCGCGGGGCTGGATTAGCAACACGATCTGGTCCGTAAGGTGGAAGATGCCCCTTAACGGGCGGACGGGGCGGTGGTGGATGTGGCAAAGGGTGCGAGAATGATGGGATAGGCCGGCTCAGATGAAGGGGACTGGGTGCTATGTCCGACATGCTTCTTTCAGAATAAACCGACGGAGACGGAGCATCAGGCCGTGGCGGCCGCTCTGGAGGGAGTCCTTTTGCGATGAACGGCCTTGCCTGAGTACCGGCCACATTCATTTGCAGGCTACCGTCAGTCGGTAAAGGCCATTGGGTCATATGGGACTGATTTGCCTTGATTTTGGAGGTGGGACCTGAATGAGTACTTTGCGAAGGCGCCATCGCAATATCCGGACGTCTGCCAACCTCTAACATTTGTCTCGCCCGTTTGACGGAACCTTTTCTGTTGACATTTGTGTCTGTCGATTGGAAGCCATGGTCCGAGCTCTTGGCCGAAGTTGATTCCATTTCTTGTGTTGTTAATTCTTTTCCCTTTTTTCTGCGAGTAGTGTAATGAATGTAAATGATCTATGTCAAGCCTATCTTTGCCAGCATAGGGGCTATGACACTGCATAAAGTGGTGGTATAGAAAGATCGATCGCCTTCAAGTCGGTAAATAGAGCGCGCACAGGAACGAATGACCAGCTCGAGTCTTATGCCGAGGACGATGTCAAGAGTAACGAAGGAGGGTAGCCGTGAGCTGAAGATATACAAGCCACGTGATTCGACCCTCAGTAGCTGCAGCCGTTGGAAGAGCTGCAGTAGATGAATATGAGGAATACAAGCTTGAGCTGAAAGGTAAAGAGGGAAAGAGGGCAAAAGGGGCAGTCAATGCCTCTGCTGGATAAGGTGTCGAAATGAGCACATGCCACGGAATAGTTTCATCATGAATATCATCACATCAAGGGAGGCATACCAGAGTTCAATGACGAAATTCAAAGAGAGGAAGGAAGATTGACTGCGAGGTATTGCAGAATTACACAGTATCACAAACAGGCTACCTCAGCAGAATCTCTTTCTGTCCATTGATCCAAGCCACTGAGACATCATACGTTGTTAGTGACTTCCTCGTCTCAAAGGAAATTTCATATCGCGGACTTACAGGTACATTATGAGAACTAAACAACCGGACAAAAACAGAGCGTCAAGCCCTGGAGGAAAAGAATGAAATGGCAGACTCAAGAGGACAAGAGCACTATACTTTCAGTATAGATGGAGTCATCCAGACTCGATTATTGTGCCCTGGTGGGTAAACAAGGAAGGGCCTTCCAGCGACCCGAAATTGTTCTTCGCCTAAAACCAGACTTTGATATATTAGACTTCATCGAGTATCATTTCCGTTCGGCGTCCGCATGATTCATATTGCACAGTCCAAAAGGACGAAAAACGCGGAAGGGGCGCGGACCGTTTGGGGCTGGTCCAATCCTCACCCAGCGGAGTTGATCCAAAAACGAGCAGGGTGGAGGCTGACACTAGGAGTGTTTTTGATAGTAGCTAGTGCAATAATATCAGTACGGAGGCGGCTTCTGTACCAGTCCCTAGCAGGTCCTAGAGTTGTGCCATTTAATCAACCAGCTTTCTATCACCAGTGTGTTTAGCGGTCACTCTTGACGAAGCAGCTATGAGATTTCTGCTGTCCCCATCGCGAACAGGAGCATTGAGAGTCTGCTATGACGCTGACCCAAATGGTCCAGTGGTATGGGTGTTTAGATACTGATTCTCCTGTTTGTTTCGTGGAATCTGCTGGGTTGACTCGTCTTGAAACACAAGCAGAGGTACATAATAGACGACGACTCCAGATTGGCCAGAACCTCGAGAATCTGATATTATGGTCGGGGCGATATAAGCTCGGAACGAATCAGTTCGACGTGGGACTCCACGGTCATTGGCCCCAGTGGAGAGGCCGAGTGCCCGAGAGGCACTAAGTGGATGTATATTTGACGCTACGTCTCATCCTAAGCGATCGGGGTACACCCTTTGCGAGCGGGCAATTTTCAACATGAAACCGTGCTTCCCGTGTGTATCCAGTCAGCTCCAACTTTTCCAGCTGGGGTTCTGGGACTATGGGTGACGACGGTAGGGATTATTATCTATCGGCTAGGCAGCTCAGCGATGTCCTTGAGATAAGCTCCGTGGTATGCAAAGGTGCATCATTGTTGATCAAAAGATCCGGGGGGGGTCAAATATGTCCCGATGGAATGAAAGTACGTTACCCCTGGTATTGAACCCATTAACGGTTCAAGACTATTGCTTGCACTGGGCTATTTCGGGGGCACAAGCCCAACAGGAACGCCAGTGGCTATCAACTAACAGCGGATAAATAGACCGTTATTGACGAGCTAAGATACTAGTTGTAAAAACTTAACCAACCGAAGTGATAATAATAGACAGTCACGAAATGGATAATCTGGACAGACATACATGTTGATGAGAAGCAAAACAGCTCCAACTCCGTCATGTGACGCCATACTGTACCAACAGCTGCTGCATATTGGCCTCTACTGTCTTTGATATCTGCATTCTAGCTATAAGTTCATTGGATTCACGTCCTACAATAGTACTATCAGGTTATGAAGAACCCCAAGTTGCAGCTTATTCTGGTTTCTGCAAGCTATGAGGATGTGACTCCTGAAACTCTTCTGGCTTTGCTGAGGGGTGCATAACAAATTCACTAAGGCCTCCTGCAAGTCTGCCACTTTCACACTGACGCACATGCACGAGGACCCAGATGGCAGAGAATTCCGTTACCAGACATGCAGAGTCAATGGACAAGCCTGTCCGGCGGTTTCAAATAGCCAGTATCCTCTCTTCCTGCCGAAGAACAGCCTCGGCGCGATACGCCATCCTTGCTCAGTCGGACAGCATCATAGCTATTCTGCTGTAAAGCCAACGTTATCCATGCCGGTGCCAAAGTAACGGCAGCGCTCGAGTCTGAGTTATGGCCCACAGTCCACATATCCTTGTTCGACGAAGTGTACTCCGTACCGCATGTCACAAATGACAGGGTCGACTGGGGAAGCGCAACGTTGAACTCATGCCTTGTATCATGGACTCACTTTCCGGTAGGATGAGCTCATCGCAGTTGATTTCGCAGCCGCTCGACCTCCCTCTCCACAGTCTGCATCTCCACAACCACACTGGCAAGCTTGGGCGAATATTGCTCTATAGCTTCCGTGAAAGACCTTTGAGCGCTGCGAAGAGAAGGGGAAACCAAGATCCCGTACCAGTGGATAGGGTCAGAGAAGCGAGATCGCTCTTTTGAGGAGTCGGGGTCTGACGTCGCACTCGGATCGACTTGTCGCGCATTGCCGACTTCCGAGTCGGCTTCTTCCTTGCCTTTACTCGTTGCTAGCTCCTCGACTCGCTGGTTGTTCGTAGTCTCATCAATCGTAAAGATCTGCCTGTACTCGTTTGGTGGACACTCTCCCTGCGGGGCGTCCTCAGCCCCATTCATGATCTTTTCTTCTTCGGCGCATGGAGGCGATCGTATTGCCCTGATTATGAAGCGCTCGGTTAGTCCTCCTGACCGTGGATCGCGGGTTTCTGAGCTCGAGTCGGCGCCCAAGACCGTATTCAGCTTACATTCTCCTAATCGCCTTCATACGTTCGTCATAGTAATCAGCGCCATATCGTCGACCGGGCGGACAAGTGTAATTTGCATGCGCAAGGGAGAAGAATCCCTTTCTTATCGTCAGCTTCTCTACCCCAGGTGGAAACGATTGCGCAGGACGAATAGACATATACCGAAGATAATTTTTTGGCGAGATCTGCCTGCAGTTTTTGATGCTGATCCAGAAGTAGAAGATATCTTTCCAGAGAATGGTCCAGCAATTGTAAGGTTTTGGCAGAGGACTCGGTCTCGTCAGAGTGCTTGAGATGAAGCTCCGGTGATTCAGAGCTCGGGCGGGATGCTGGAGGAGTCGGGAGTTCGGCCATTGACAAGTCGAAACGTTATTGCAGCGTAGAAAAGCTAGTTGAATACTGCTAGATGAGGTTGTAACGCTGAAAATAAGACAAATGCAATAGCTGCTCAACGCCCGGTAGAGAGTGCAGGTCGGCGAATGGGGAATATCTGGAGAAGCACACAGAGCTCGGCCGCCCGAGCCCGATAACTCCGTCATTGCGCTTCCGGGGAAAAGCAAAAGAATTTCCCTGCGCGATTAAGGTGGATAGTCGGATACATCCTTCTTTCTCATCCCTTATTCTGTCTAACCGGGAGAGACTGTGAATCGTCTATACCATCTTGATATTCTACTATTCTGTGATTCGAGCTCGGACGTCCCTCCAGCTTGTGCGAGTCTCCGGCATAATTGTGAACCGCCACCTGCAGTTGAAGTTGTGATGCAAGACACTGTGCTAGCGATCCTGTGAAAAGTATACAATCTCCTGGCTAGGGTTGCTCTGAAAACGGCAGTCAAATTATCTTATCTGTCATCTCTGTAACGCTTCACTTTTGTCTCAGTGAAAGCCGTGAGGGGTGAAGAGTCGAAGAGAAGGCACAGGCCTCATTTGGACACAGCATCATCAGATTAGTGATTATTGTCGGACACGCATCGCTTTTGTCGCTTGCAGGTCTATTCTGAGCACTTTGCTTCACATCTCCACTCCCATCTCATAGAATCTGCCATCATGTCTGTGGCAAGCTTGCAGCGGGACACTGCGTTCCAGGTCCGGTCATTGGTATGTCTTTCATCCTCTCCGGGCGATCAAGCTACGTGAATCAAAAGACTAACGATGTGATTCAATCATACAGTTTCGATCTTTGCTTCGTCAATCTTCCCAATTCTCGAACTACAACTTTCGTGAGTATGCCCGTCGGAGAACGAGGGATGCCTTCCGTGAGCACCAGCATGAAACCGAGGAAAGGAGGATACAGGAGTTGATTCAGGATGGTCTGCAAAAGTTGCGCATGTTGAAGGTCAGTCTTGATTTGTATACGCCGGGGTCGAGATGAGGCTTTTCCATCGTCTAAGACATCGACGTACTACGTCTTACGGAAGCACGGATTGCTGACTTCTAATCCAGCGACAAACTGTGATTAGTCAGTTTTATCAGCTGGACAAATTAGTAGTGGAAGGACAGAAGACTGTGAGTAGTCTCTCGAATGCGCCTTGCTCGTTTCAGACTTCGCCTAACTATTCATGCAGGGCGAGCAGACTGGACAAGAGGGCGGTATCGTCCGTCAGAAGGATACCGGGTATGACACTTCCTCATTATGCTTCTTTCGCCAAAAGCTGACAGTGGTTGCAGGTGGGATTGATTCACTGGACCGTGTAAACAAGGACATGCTGGGGTTTCAGACTTTATTCAGAACGGAACACTGAACTCGACATGAGTTTGCACTGCGCAGCCGTCAAGTTATTGGATAAACCGGGGTGACTGTACTTTTAACGAATCCGACTGCGCTGTATGTTGCACTGGTTACTCATAACTATCAGAAAGACACACGCTTCTCTTACATTATCTTAGCTGCCTATAATAGATTACTGGAGAAGTCAAAGTATCATTTCTTGTTGGGGTTTATTGTCATGGTCCTTGCATAGGTGTATAGGTGATAAATTCACGTGACCCAGCGCTCAGTAACTCCCGTTTCCGCGCCATCGCATCGCGCCGAACACTACCAGTCGCATCCTAATCTGGCTGGACCGCAGACGGCACCATTGTTCGATCTTTATAACTTTAGCTTTTCAGTTGATAGTTTTAAAGATACTGGAATCTGCAAGCACTCGCCTTAGTATCTGCGAGGCGGAGGAAAGACTGCCGGCCAGCCACTCACCATGCCACCGACTGTAGGTGTCTCCTAGCGCAACGTCGCCCGCAAGGAGAGATCTCCCTCCCAGGGACTGGCGATAATTGTATCGTTCATCTGCATGCTGACAAACATCAGTTCAGATCCTCGCGCTCAGGTCGTCAATTCGGCGAGAACGCTAATCGAACCCGAACCGGCCAAATCGATCACGATGTTTTCGAAGGACTCCCGGTGCGGAGATGGACGCGCCAGCGCCAAACAATCTCCCAGGTCCCCAAGACCGAAATATCGGAATCGCTCATTCAAGGCCCCGGAGGCAAACAGGCCCTACCCGAACACCCCATGCCTAGGGACAGTCATCTCCTGACACCTATGAGCAGAGCGCTTCTTCGCGCTGCTCGAGCCGGTTGTATCTACATTCGCAAAGCGCAAAAGGAGCCAGAGGATGAAGAGAAAGAAGCTACGGACGTCGAGGAACAACCGATGATACAGAGCACGGACCGCAGCTTTACTGCGCGCAAGTGGGCAGCGCTGCCTAGACATCTGGAGCCACCGGAGGTGGAATTTCTGGCCAAGAGACGACCGGGCTTACCATCACTGTACGGCGCTTCAACTACGGGTGTGGACGGTGCCGCGAACAATGTTCCGATGAGGAGGACTCGTTTCAAGAAGGTCGACCCGGTTACTGGTAACATTTCCATCTACGAGGCGTGGGTGCCGGAAGGACACAAGATTGAAGGCGAAATCACCGATGAAGCTCAAGTGAGAGCCGAAAACAAGGAGGTCGCTGTTATTCCGGAGGCACCTGCACCTGGCACTGTTGTCGAAGGTGTTGGTGTGGTCAACGCTGAAGGTGTGGTTGTTGCAGACGCAGGCTCCGTCTCTGTCATGACGCCGCCGAAAAGACGCCCACCTCCTCCCAAGCGCAAGGCCAAGGGTTTTGGAAAGGGACGCAGGAAGAAGGTCATGTTTGCGCCAGGGGATGGGGCTGATGCTGCGCTTGTCCATGGTTCTGGCGCCAGTACTGCAGATGGCGCCACAGATGCCGGGTTTGCTAAACCGGATCAGGACGCGTCCCGCTTGTCAGTGGATCAAAGCGGCCAGGATGATGAAGAGGAGGAGGGTGATGAGGGCGAAGAGAGTGATGAGGGCGACGAGTCGATGTTGGACGCCAAGACACCAGAAACTCCACTCGCACAGCCTGAGTCTGTACCAGCGGGTGATGCGCTGTCTATATCTGACGCTGAAGCTGCTCAAGAATCTTCAGGAGCTATCAAGCAGGAAAATGATGAATCGCAATCAGTTGCTCCAGAGGGCCTATCAGCCTTGGCCAAGAAACCCTTTACCCATACGCATGTGCAGCCATCGGCGCCCTCCGCTAAACCCCCTAGTCCTCAAGCCCCGGCGTCAATGTCTGCTGAGGAGTCTGCTCCTGCCCCTTCGGCTCAACCTGAAGCTACAGCTGTGTCCAAAGAGCCGACACAGGCAGTCGTGACCGAAGACGTTGTTATGTCCGATGCACAATCTCCAGTCTCCCTCCCAGATGATAGTCTGGCGACTGTACCTCAGCAACATCCGGAACGTCTGTCTTCAGATGCACAAGATGTTACTGAGCCCGCCCACGGAAGTCCTGTTTCCCTATCGCCTCAGGCAGTACCTCAAACTTCAGTGCCGGGCCCGTCTCCACCTGTTGAGACTGCGCATGGAACAGAAGGTCAGACAGAAACCACAGAGAAGTCGGCGGAGCCAAGTCAGGCTACTCCAAGTGAAGCAATGATACAGGAGGTAGCCGAGACGGGTGATGTAGTAATGGAGGACTTGGAAGCTGCTGCATCAGCTCCTACGACTGAGCCTACCCCCCTGGAAGAAACTGTTCCTGAACAAGCTCCCAATCCTGCAGTTGAACCTCAACCGGCCGATACTGAGGCAGGGAGCAACGAGGTTGATCTTCTTGGTAGCTTGGAAGCTAGTCTGGATGGTACGGTTCGCGATGCCCAGACTGACGGATCAGCCGCACTACAAACTGATCCGCAAGCTGGAACCATTACTGCTGAGAGCACCGCGGCAAATACCGCAAGGGAAGTTGGAGAATCAGTCATAGATGAGCCTCAACAACAACCATCGGAATCCGTTGAAGAGCAAGCAGCAAAAGAGATCTCAGAGCAGATTGTCGAACCTGCTGATGCAGAGCAGAAGGCAATCGAACAGCCCAGTGGACCATCCCTAGAACCCAGCACTATGTCTATTCCAGAGCAACCTGAGCATGAGATGACAGAGCCTACCGCGGAAACTGCGGCGAATGATGCCATAGAAGAGCTTAATCAGGAAGCTCCTGTGGCACAGTCTCCCGAACAAGTTCCTGAAGCACCATCAGCTGTAGATGCAGAGCCTGTTGCTCAACCCGCAGAGAACCAGGCTACTGAATCCGCCGCGCCGCAAGTGATCGAGCCTGCAACGGATTCTAACATGATGCCATCTACAGAACTTTCTACTGAAGCCCCTTCAGATCAACCAGCTGCGCCGCCTACAGATCAACAACTTCCAGTTCCATCCCCTGAGCCACACGCAGAACAACCGGCGCAAGATTCGCCGGAGCAATCGGCTCATCCAAGTGAGCCGCTTGCCCCTTCAACTACAGAGCAGACACCTCCGCAACCCACACGCCCCTCGCCGGAACACATGGCACCGCCAACAGAGCCTCTCACCCCTCCAAGTCCAGAATTCGAGCAAATTGAGGAATCCTCTCAAGAGCAACCTGAGAATCAGGCGCCCGTAACAGACGCTCAAGAACCACAACCAGCTCCGCCCGATGAAGATGAAACGCCTGAGGTTCCTTCTTCGGCTGGTGCACCAAGCGCACCTGAAGTTACCGATCCACAAGCTATGCAACCGAGCGACGCTGCTCCCCAGCCTATCGCCGAGCAGGAAAAGGTAGAACCTGAAAGCAAGGAGAGTGGAGAAGAGGCACCTGCACCATCGACCTCTGACGTTAGCGCAGCATAGAATTTCTAGTGAGAACGTCAGACTCTGTTTCAATCTCTGCATGGGTGTATTTGAGGTGGGAGTTAGGTGTAAGGCGTTGCGCTCTCGGTTCTCTATAAGGTTTTTTAAGTGATTCCATCTTTGGTAGTAAATATCCCATATCGGGGACAGTTTGGTCTACGGAATATGCATCTGCGGGATTTCT